ACATACATGTTGATAGTTATTTCCTCTTGATGTATTACTCTTTGTATTAGTATAAAGTGACCTTTTTTGTCTCTTCTAATTTAGGTTTGAAGTCGACTTTATTTGACGTAAGTATTGCTACTCCTGCCTGTTTTCAGGAGCTTTTGGTGTGGTAAATCTTCTTCTACCCTTTCACCCTAAGACAGTGTGTACTTCTGTCAATAGGTGGGTTTCTTATAAACAACATATTGTCATATCTTCCTTTTTAATTCAGTTTGCCAAAGGTTTCTTTTGTTGGGGGAGTTGAGTCCATTAACATTCCGTGTTAATATTGAGGGGTATTTGGTAATTTCTGCCATTTTCTTATTTTTGTTGTTTAAGGACTTCAATGTGTATATCTAATTCCATGCTACTCTCTGATTACTTGTCTGTTCTTCTCTTGAAGTTTAATATATTCCATCTTTTTGTGCTTATATTTGTTTTCACCTTCTATGTGTAAAAGTCCTTTCAGAATCTTCTGTAGTGGTGGTTTGGTGGTCATATATTGTTTTAGTTTCTGTTTGTTGGGACACTTTTATTCCTCCATTGGTTTTGAATGATAGCTTTGCTTAGTGGAGTATCCTAGGCTGAACTGTTTTCGTTTAGTGCTCAAAATACTTCACTCCTGGCCTTTCTTGCTTTTAAGGTTTCTATTGAGAAACCTGCTGTTATTTGAATGGGTTTAACTTTATATATTATTTGATTTTTCTCTCTTACAACCCTCAGTATTCTTTCCTTATTCTCTGTGCTATTTATGTTAATGATAATATACCATGGTATGATTCTATTTTGGTCATGTCTGTTTGGTGTCCTGGAGGCTTCCTGTACCTGAAAGGACATCTATTTCTTGAGATTTGGGAAATTTTCTGCTATTATTTTGTTGTATATACTACATATACCTTTGGCTTGCACCTCTTCTTCAATGCCCATGATTCACGTGTTTCGTTTTTTGATGGAATAGCTGAATTCTTGCATATTCCTTTCACAGCTCTTGAGTCTTTTTCCTAATTCTTCTGCTTTGTTTTCTTTAATATCTATTTTGTCTTCAAGCCCTGTAATTCTGTTTTCTACTTGTTCTACTTGCTAGAGTGGCTTTTAACTGTATTTTCTATTTGATCTAAGGAACTTTTTATTTCTAGGATTTCTCTTTGGTTCTTTTTTTCTGAGATTTTCCATATTTTTGTTAAACTGCTCTTTCATATCTTGTGTGTCTTTATTTCATGTATCTCTTTTTCATAATTTCCTTTGTTCATTTTGAAATTTTATGCAGTCATCTGTAAGTTCATTTAGTTGTTTTTGCATCTCTCAGGTTTTTTATTCGTATTACATTAATATCCTTTCAGTTGTTTTTTGCATGTTCTCTTTAAGCTCCACTATGAGCTCCTCTTTGAAATCCTTTTTGCGTTCTTTCTTGAGCACCTCTTCAAGGTCCTCATTAAGCTACTTATCATTATTCTACTGTTCTTTCCCTGCATTTTCCACTAAATCCTCTATTGAAATATGGTTAATCTTTTGAGGGGTTGTAGTTCCTGCCTTCCTCCTCTCCCCATACTTTTATTTTGTGCTTTGCTCCTGTGCTATTGATTGGCTAGTTGTGGGTTTAATCATCTGTTATCTTTCTCTTGACTTAACTACTGTGCTGTAACTGTCTTAGTCATTAGGTAGGTTGCTATGCTATTTCTGTTACCTGACCTGGAGGCATAATTTAGCAATAACAAATTCACAGATTCAATGCCAGACCTGTTTTTTACATAACATATAGGGAACCCCTTGGTAATATCTATAAATAGTGGGAATTGGGGTGATAATGGTTGCTTGGATAGTGATAGATACTTAGGAAATTATAAAGATGGGGGGAAGGGGGATGAGATGGGGGGAAGGAAAATGGGTCCTAATGTGTGTTAAGGTGTAGTTTGGTTGTTATGGGGGAAGGTGTTTTTGTCAGGGATTGTAGGACAGTTGGGGTAACAAGTAACATGAGTATGGTAGAGTATTCAGTAAGTGGCGAAAAAAAGGGAAGAAAAAATAGTTGGAGAGAAAGGAAAGTGGGACAAAAGTGATCTAAGCAAGTTGATATTTGGACAGAAAGGAAGAAGAAGATAGGTAACAATGGATTGTAGCACAAAAAAAGAGAAATTGAAGAGGGTGAGAATAAAGATAAGAAAATAATAGCAATAAAATTAAAATTACTAAATAAAAATGGGGGCAAATACCAGTTCACTGAAACCTCTGAACTCATTCCTTTGACTTCAAATCCAGGTGCTAGTGCTTTGAGAGGGCTTCCCAGTATCACTGTCCTTTCTCAAGGTTGGTGTGCTGGGCCTGTGGTGATGGATGTTGCCTCTCCTTGTCTGACAGCTTAGGATGTTTAGCCCAGTGCTTCCTTAGTATGATGGGCCACATGGTGCAGGCAGGATCTCTTTAGTGGGGTCACCAGGAGCCTGGTTTGTGAGTAGTCTGCGGTCCCTTCTGCACACAGGGCAAGTTGCAGTTGAGCTCTATGATTGCTCACTCTTCATCTCACTACCAGATTCTCCAATGTTGTCAAATATATTTCTAATTTTACCAGGTGGCAGCTGTGTCAGTCCACTGCTGCTTTGACTCTGGCAGGTCAGCCCCTCCCCCAATGAGGTTGGGCAATTCAGCATTGTGCTCCACCCCCAATCCTGCAAGTTAAGTGCAGAGTTCTGATCCACCCCTGCTCTGGGAGGTGAGCTTTGCTTTTCACTCTGCTCTCATTCCAGGATGCCACTTCTGCCTTTCACACCAACCCCACCAGGCAGAGGTGAATTTTCTTCATCTATGGCATTCAGTTTTGTTTATGGTGGATGTAATCAGTCTTCCAGCTGCACTGGACTATGTGGTTTCCTTGAAGCAGATGATTTGTGGTGCTCACCTGTTGAGGTTGGGTCCCAGCCAGTGGGTGTAGGTAAGTTGTGATATGCATCCAGTATGTCGCAGAATCTTGTTGTTTGTTCTGCATTCCTCTGCTTTTTCCATGAAAAAGAAAGGTAAAGAAAAAAAAAAAAGGGAGAAAAACTGGCCAGTGGCTTTCCCTGAAGCAGACCAGCAGCGGTGCCAGTTGCAGGCCACAGTATTACTTTCCTGGCAGTTACGAACAATTACAAGCTGCTTTAAGGGTTGGCCATTGTTGGTGGTAATTTAATGGCAAAAAAATAAAAATTACCTGAGTCTAGCTCCCAGGATTCTGAAGTATTTTTCTGAAATCATGGAACTGAGGGTTTGTGCTTCCCTCAATTATCTGTCATTTTGAATCTTGTCTTAGCTATTCGGTAAGAGAATTTTAAATGAGTTTGGCTTATATCTTGTAAGTACAGTGGCTTTTATTAATTTTTGAAAATAAATTTTAACATAACATTAAAAAACATAAAAATTGTACATATTTGTACACAAAATTGTGTGCCATTGTATGTTTTCATAAATGTATAATTTATGTAATATTTAAATTGAATTAAATATGTTTCTTTTCAAATATTTATTTATTGTGAAAACTTCCAAAATCCTACTGTGCTTTATTGTTGTCTATATTCGCTTCACTGTGTCACAGTGCACCAAATTTTATTGTTCTTGTCTAACTGTAACTCAGTACCTATTGATCAATATTTCTCTATTCCTCTCCCAGCTTTTTCTGGCCTCCAGCAACCACTGTTTTAGTTTCAACTTCTATAAGATCAACTTAAAAAGATTATTTTTAATGTTATAAATGAAGCATTTATAGTGCTATTTTTATTTTGGTGAGAAAAAAACAGAAAAGCAATTATTCAACTTCTACAAAGAACAATGCTTTCCAAAAACTACTACAGCATATTTAAGTTAACAAGACAGTTACATTGTCCCCTCCTTCTCTTTGTGAAATTTAATTTTATTTTCAATTGCTACATTAAGGCATAAAGGTTACACATATATAGGGATATCATTATATTTTGATATATGCTATATTTTTATATATGTATACATTGTATAATGGTTAAATCAAATACACACACCAAGCATATGTACCTTTTGAAGTTTTTGGAACACATCCTGGTAGCCTTACAAAATTAGCAAAACACTTTCTTGTTCTGCTTGTTTGCTTTCATTATGAAGCAGATATAAGCATAGATTGTTTAGTTAAAAAAAAGAAACCAGACATGTTCACCATAGCTCTTACTTATGTTTGCCAAAACCTTATTACCTTATTATATTCATTTCTTTAACATTTGGATTTTAAACATTATAAAATACTCCCATCTCAAATACAAAACATATACACATACATAACACACACACACACACATACACACAAAATCAAAGGAGTGATGCCTGTTAGAGAACCCATAAAGGCTGATGCTGGGAAGAGGAAAAGGGTGAAAAGAACACGACGCAACACGTTGAAACTACTACATTAGGACAGTACACAAAGCTGTCACTGCATGGGTCTGGAGATGTGACTCAAGCAGTAGAGTGCCTGCTTGAATTCAAGCCCCAGTCCCACCAATAAAAACCAAGAAAATCAATCAAAAAAGGAAAAAAACCTGTCACTGTCATTGTGATCTTGAAATAAGATAGTTGATCTAAACTCTGTGCAAATCTTGAATCTTTGACCATTGATAACTGAGCCTTGTTCAGGCCACCCTCTTGAAACTACTGTCTCTTCTTCAATTGGTTGAATATGAAAAAAAAAACAACACTCACGGGCCTTGTCCAAGTTAGCAATATCCTTGAGAAGCTTTTAACTAAGCAGCTATAATGGGGAAATAGAGACTATGTTTTTGAGAATGAGTAGAGGATTTCTAAATAGTGTGACTTATCCTATAAAACACCTATAGAGAGAAGATTTAGAAAGCACTTGACAAGTACAGACACAGTCCTATGGTTCATTACCAAAAGATACACTCTTTACTATATTGGTTTAATCATGTCTATTTGAGTCAGAAATCTGACGCAGAGGAGTTAAATTTAAAACCTAGTTAGAAAACCTACCTAGAGGGAGGGGTATGCTGGTAGCATGTGTTTATCCAAGACCCTCCTTAAAGCCCTCAGGACTTCCTTATTCCTCAAGCTGTAGATGAGGGGATTCAGTGCTGGGGTGACAATTGTGTAGAAAATAGAGATGATATTGTCCTGTTTGGGATTGTGGAAGGAACTGGGCAGGACATACATGAACGTGGCTGCCCCATAAAACATCCCAACCACAGTTAGGTGAGATGAGCAGGTGACAAGAGCTTTCTTCCTTCCCTCATTTGAGGGCATGTGGAACACAGTGAGCAGAATTAGCGTGTAGGAGGCCAGAATGGCAGCAAGAGGGGGAATCAGGAAGGTCACACCCATCACATAAACCATGAGTTCATATCCAGAGGTATCTGCACAAGCCAACTTCAGCAGAGGTGGGATCTCACAGAGCAGATGCCTGATCATTCGGGCTTTGCAGAAAGGATAGTGCATGGTGTACATGGTAAATCCTAGGGCACTCAGGGATGCCAGGATCCACGATGTGGCCACCATGAGCCAGGCCACCCTAGGCCTCATGTAGATCATATAGTTCAAAGGATGACAAATGGCCACATACCTGTCATAGGCCATGAAGGCCAGAAGGAGGTCCTCTGCCCCACCCAGTGTCAATGCCAGGAACATCTGAAAGGCACAACCTCCAAAGGAGATGGTGTTTTCTCTGCACAGAAAGTCCATGACAGCCTTGGGAGTAACAACTGATGTGAACAGGAGGTCCATTAGAGAGAGCTGCCTGAGGAGGAAGTACATGGGCACATGGAGACGGACATCCATTGTGATGACCAGGAGAAGCAGTCCGTTGCTGGTCAGGGCCAACATGTACAGAGCAGTGATTGTGGCACAGAGTATTTCAGGTGACCCACTGCCATTCAGAATGCCTACCAAGATGAAGTCACTTCCCAAGGTGGAGTTCCAGTGCTCCATCCTGTATGCTTTCTTTAGTTGCCTAAAAACAGATGGATTCTAAGTGAAGTTTTGCTGATACGGACCCTTGGTTTATACCATCATGGATCTCTTCGGCTATGCTATATGACTCCGATGGGATGTTATATGTCCCACTAGTAAATTACTTTGCCTCTTCCTTTCCAAATTTCTGATTCTTTATTGTAACTTGGTAAACTGGAGCCACTGTAATAGGTTAATTAATATTTAGAGATCACCACATGAAAATATTATTCAAATCATTAAACCTGAACATCTGTCTTTCAAAAAAATTAAATCATCCCTATCTTAAGACTAAGTAATATTCTGACATTAATGACCTTGTTTAGATTCATGTAACGTTTAACTAATGCACTAAATATATGGTAAGTATTCTTCACAGACTTATTTTGAATATGAAATTCCAAACTGGTACAGAGATGTGAATTCAATAAAGTACTTTCATTTAGTTTTCCATATTTTTTTTGAAATAGGAGCCTCTATATTGCCTAGACTTGCCTTAAACTTGCAATTCTCCCATCTAGCCTCTTGAGTGCTTGGATTACAGGTGCATACCACAATGCCCAAATCTTTTCCCATATTTCTTAAGTCTACATTTGTTTTAAGCATTCAAGGCTACAGACACAAAAAACATTAGAAGAGTTCAAGTTTATCCACCTTAGTTGTCTTTCTTCACTAGCCCCAAATTTTCATCACTATTGGATGTTGTATCTAGGAAAGTGTTGCTTTGGATCTAAACCTTCAGGGTCAATGCAAATATATTTGTATCTAATTTAAACAGGTTATGATACAATGTGAACTTCAGAAGACTCAGAAATAGAGCAGATGAGGCAGTCCCTAAGAAAATAAGGGCATTTGTGTTTGCAAGGTATGATGAAAGGTAATAAAAGGACATCTGCTACATGCTGTAATCAAGTCAAATAGTTCCATCCCCTACTTTGCATTTGACCCAGATAGTGACTCTTCTTACTGCAAGTTCAGAACATTTGCACTGGATAGAAGGATAGACGGATAGAAATAAAAAGCTTTCTTTCTGGAAAGCTACTGGTGTTGCACACTTCCCAAGCTAGGGAAAAGCCACCAGAGGCAGGAGTCTAAGATTGACAGGAGTCAATCATGAAACAAGATAGGTAAAGTCATTCAGAGCATGATGTAAAAGTATGAAAGTGAGGCATCCTTCTGGCAGTCGTTCAGCCATGTAAAGGCATATCCATGTCATTACTTCATTAGTTCTTTCATTTCTTTTGTGGTAGGTATTAGTATATTAATATGTGAATGGAATGAGAATATTCAAATAATTAGTTTTTACATGGCCCTTGAGGGGCATGTACTATACTGTGGGTGCAAAAATGCATTATCAGTGTGGTGGATTAGCTCAAGTGTTAGAGTGCCTGCCTAGCAAGTAAGTGGCCCTAAGTTCAACTCCCAGTAATGGCAAAAGAAAGCAAAAGCAAAAATTTAAAAAATTCATTATCACAAGTCAGCAACACCCACAGCAACATCTCAAGGCTAGTAATGAGATTCCCACCAGGACCCAAGAACCCAGCCCTGGGCTTTAGCACAGACTCTTTATCAGTCCTAATAGGTTCTCTCTTCATACTCAGGAAATCAAACATAGAGGGACTGAATGATTGAATGAGAAATGTAGCACAAAGTGATAGGGAAACTGGTGGACACAGTGGTTTATGTCCTCAGGGTCTGCTTGCTCTCTAATTTTAACTCAACATGCCTGGAGGGTATGTATTTCAATAAAAGAGACACCAACTTCCTGGGTGTTGTTTGAAGATTGAGAATATTCCAGTAGACATGTGGAGGAGGATGTGGTTTTCTTCTGTAGAATTCAGTTGATTTAAGTTCTGCTAAGTTGGTGAAGTGTCTCAAGATTTCATCAAATATTGTCAGGGCCTGTCTACTCCTTCCACGTCTCTGCAGATGTTCTCTGGAGGTGGCAGTGGGCATAGGCAGACAGCTTTGGAGTAGGAAAGATGGCCTTCTTTTTTATAGCTGAGAAGAATCAGGAAATGTTTCTGTCATATAGCTTGTGACGGAGGGAATCCCTGTACCTCTGTGGCAGCTTTCAGACCAAGTTTTTGGGTCCAGTTGCTCAAACTACTTTATTCCTGCTGGAAACTGGGAGCAAATTTCAAAGCCACTGGAAGGAAGTAGATATTAGAAGACAAGCCCAAGGGACCCTGCTGTGCCCCTCCTCAGTGTCCCTGGGGCCAGTGGTAAGACTAAACAAGATACTCTGTTATAATATCAAATGACCCCTCCCTCTACTCTGTCATTTGTCCCTCTATCTTCAGAGGGACTTATGTTCTCAAATGAAATGGCCTCATGCTGGACCAGAAAATAGAATGTTAATGAATCCTCTTGGGTATGTTTGCTGCACAGTTTTTCTGAGCTCTTCTTTTGCTAAATGAGCTTGGAAGCCCCAGGCTTCTTTACTTTTCTGTTTTCTTTTTCTTTCTTTCCTTTCTATTTTTTTCAAACATGGTCAAATTCTGTATCCAGGCTAGCCTTGAACTTGACATCTTCTTGCCTCAGCCTCTCAAGTGCTGGGATTTCAGAAATATGACACCATACCCTGGAAGCCCAGGGTTCCAGTCAACCCTCAGTGAGATACAGATGACCCATTTTTAAATTTTTAACTGAAAATAGCAGGAAGCAAAGGCTCCTCATGTGGTCAGCTCTCAGTCCCAGATCATTAGGTAGACTTCCTGGCTCTTGTGGGATGCTTCTTTATGGTTCTTTAGCCTGGACTATTTACAGATCCATATGACTGCTCTGTGTGCAGATTTGACATGTCCCTTCCTTGACCTTTTGCAATCCAGTGCTGTTTATGTACGCACACATGTCATAGTGCTACTATTGCCTGTCACCAGTGATGCTTGAAGAGAACTCAACTCTCCAAGCATTGAGCAGAAAATTAAAAAGAAATTCAAATTATTCTGAAGTTGTAGAATACCAATATTAATTTAAATCTTTTAAATGCTCCCAGAGATAAAAGACAAATTATTCTCTAAGTAAACACACTGAGATGACAATAGATTGTCAATGGCAAGAATAGGAAGAGTAAGAAGTATCTTTAAGGATGCTGAGGAAATAATATCTATGTCCAGCCAAACTCCTGGAATGAACAAAGAAAATTTAACAACAAAAACCAAAACAACAACAACAAAAAAGGATTTACTTCCAAAAACTCTTAATAAAATAATTTCAGCAAGAAGAAAAATGATGCCTAGCAGATATGTACAGTTCAGGGAGCAATGCCGATTTTAAAAACTGATTCTGTAAGTGAATTAACAAGTTTAGTTCTTGAAACAAAATACATTAAAATCTTTATAGGACTAAAACCTCTCAAAAAATGAAAATGTGGGAAATGTGGGGGTGGAAGTTCCCTATGTATAATTAACAAAGACTATTAAGAGCTTCATACTTACTCATTTGAAATATTTCATTTTTCATTTTTAAATAAGGCATAATTTAAGTACAGTGAAAGCAACATTTTTAGTATACAGTTGGTGCTCTGTGTGTGTGTGTGTGGGGATGGGGTATGGGGAAAGAATTCCGCCTTGCCCTACTAGGCAAGTGCTCTTCATTTGAGTAACACACCCAGTCCCTATTTTTGCAACTTTTGACACATATCACGTAATGACCACCAAAGTGAAGATATCAACCCACAGAGCTTTGTCCCCAAATTCTCTAGTGTTCTTTTATACTTATCCCTTTCCCTTACCCAAGGCCCTGTCAGGTGCCTTATCTGGTTTTTGTCACTATGTATTGCCTTTTCCAGAATATCATATATATTATAATACAGCTTAAGTCTAGCTTCTTTCACTTAGACTAATATACTTGAGATTTATCAATAATCTGTGTCTGTTAGTAGTTTTTTCCAATTTATTTCAGAATAGTATACAATTGAATGTATGTATCATACTTTATTTACCCGCTTATCAGTGGACACTGGCATTGTTTCCAATTGTTGATTATGAACAAAGTCAACATGAACATCCATGAACACAAAATGTCTATTCACTCATGTCAAGATCCTGTATAGAAACTGTTTAGTTGTATAGTAAGAGTGTGCTTGGGTTTATAAGAAATTGACAAGCTGTTTTCCATTAAAAATTTGAGCTCGTAGAAGCCAAGAGCAGAACAGTGGTTCCCAAGGGAGAGTGGGAGTGTAGTGTGTGTTCAGGGAAATGTTGAACACAGGATAGAAGATTTCATGTGGATAGAATGAATGAGTTCAAGAGATCTATTATAGAACATACTGACTACAGTTAATAATAATGTATGGTGTTCTTGAAAATCACTTAGAGAGTAGAATTTAATGTTCTCAGCACACACGATGAAAAATACATGAGGCAATGCAGATGTTATTTAGCACAATTTCTTCATTCTACAATGGGTACATATATGCACACATCATGTAGTATGCAGTAAGTACTCAAAGCCTTTATTTGCCAATTTAAAACTTTTTATATATGGTAGGGATTTAGACATTCTGGATTCATTGGTTTCTATAAAGTATCCTTTTGAGTTAATATTTAATCAATCCCCTTTTAGTAGGCAAAGGGTTGTTTCCACTTTTGATCCTATTGTGAGAAGTGCTGCTCTCATAATTTACATGTGTAAATCCTTCTGCTGTGGTTTGGATGTTAAATGTCCTCAAAAGGTTATTGTGTAAAAGGATAGGTTCCCAGGGTGGCACTATTGGGAGGCAATAAACCTTTACAAGGTAGGATCTAGTGGGAGGTCTTAGCTCACTGTTGGTGTGCCCTTGAGGGGATGTGGCACCCTGGCCTCCTGCTGTCTCTCTTTTTCTTCCTGCCCATGACAAAAGAAGTTTTTCTCTTCTACACACTGCCTGCCATTGCCATTTGACATGCCCACAGATGCCAAAGGCAATAGAGCTACCCAATTTAAGACCTGAATCTCTAAAATGAACCTGTTACCTCTATAGCCAGTTTTCTCAGGTATTTTGTTATAGTGATCAAAGGCTGTGATACATGTCCATTTTGAAAGTTGGTTTCATTTATTTATTATTGTGATGGACACAAATGACCATTTTATAGAAAACCAGAGGTATACAAGATGATTCTTTCTTCATCTAAGTTTTTGGAATTAAAACTTAAATAGCAAACAACTAAAATTGCAGAATTTATAAATATGTACAAAACTACAGTCACATATTGGTGAGATGTTCCATCAGAAGAAATCAGAGAATCCCAAGAAGGTAAGAAGTGCAAAAAGGTAAAGAACTACATGTATTAACAAAACTCCTAAAATAGATGAAGTTGAGTGATTGAACAAACTTAATAGGGAAGATCTGAAGTAGGGTAGAGCATCAGACAAGAGCTTACATTATGTTCACATACTCTAATAAATCAGCACTGCAGCACAAACTGAAATCACCTAGAGGAATATGTTGCTTTCCTAATGAAAAAAAAGAACTTTAAAGACATATTTCTTCTGTTGCACTTGTGCAGTGACTTTCCTGTATATATTCATTTTAGAATCAATACATGAAAACGTACTTATTTTACTTTCTTAAAGTTGAAAGTAAAATATATGAAAACATACACAACTGTTTCCAGCATTGACTGGTAAAGTGAGTGATCAAAGAGAGACTGAAGAATGAGGTGGAGAAGTAAAGAGCTGGGTGAGAGAAGAGAAGAGAACTAGAGCAGTGACAGCTGCAGGCTGGTGCTGGGTCATGGTCCCTGAGCTGAGCAAATGAGCCCTCTATTCACAGAATAGAGGCACACATGCACATGTGTGCATAAGCATGAGAGAGCATAGAAGTGAGAAACAAAGAACTGAAAAAGCGTAGAGACACCCATCTGATTTCTGATGAATGCTAACTAAAGGTGGATGAAAGAAGACCTCATGTTAGCAAATGTAAATGGTTAATTCCCTCTACTAGTAATGGCCCAGACAAGAAGTACAGGGAGGGATATGCAGAGTGATTGCCTTGAAAAACCATGATGCCCTTTTTAAGTTAGACAGAAAGGTGGCCAGGGCCCCTGGCCCCAATGGCCCTGCTTGGCCAGTTACTGACACCATCTACTTAGTAAGAAACCACCTTAGTAAAACCATATGGAGTAGAACAAGTCATCAGGGCTCAGAGTCAATGTAGTGACTGCTGTTTACAGAAATGGCAGGTCAGGAGACATGCCTGGAGGATTAATTAAAATTAAAATTCAGTTTCCAGGAGCAGCATATTCAGGGGAGATCATGTCACCTGAGAGGATGAAACTATAAAATGTCTCCCAGGACAAGGTTGGGCCCCCTCCTGCCAAGGGACAGTGAGGCAAGGCAATGATAGATCACCTTTGAGCAGCCCTACCCATCCCTCAGTCCTCAAGTTTCTTCCATGGTCATTTTTAATCATGGACCCCAGCTGGAAAGGGGATATAAAAATATAGTACAGGGACTCAAAACTTATCAAGAACTACTACAAAGCTGTGAAGGACTTCCTTACAAGGAGAGAGGATGAGGACATTCTGAGGTATTCAGCTAGTTGCTTTGCCAGGATTCTGCCCTGGATTATCAGTGTCCATCTCTTTCCACAGAGAGAATGGGAAATGGTAGTGACTGGAGAAGCCTTTCACCCCTGATCCTAGTGACTACCATGCACTCTACATCCCACCCTGTCTGAAGAACCACCTCCTGTTTCTTCAGCATCTTGAACCTTGTCACAAATGAATCCAAATGAATCTCAGGGCATAGGATGTGGTGTGGAAGAGGTGCTTTTTCCCTTTGAAGGTAAGAGCTCGTCTTTGTTTCTACACAATGTGTGGAGTCTGAGAGCCTTGAGAAATAGACCAGACCTTAGTGCTCCATCTCATATTCTCTCACAAGCTTCATAGCTCACTTCCATCTCTACTCTAGGCACTTTGTAAACATACACCTCCTATATGTGAGGATACAGGCAATCATCTAGCACCACTGATAAGATCTGAGTTACTAGAATTCCTAATGCTGACTTTCTGGTAAAAGTCTTGGTACACACCTTTGGTACACCTGTATTTTCCTGGACTCCAGTAATCAGATGTGGATCCCTGAATGGATAGTACCTTAAAGGAGGATCATCTAATATCAATTCACTTTCTTCTCCTCTATATGCCTGCTTAACACTAAAAAAGACTCAGAAAAGCCAACTGAAACTGGGAGTGGTAATATACACCTGTAACCCTAGTACCCGGAGGATGAAGCAAGAACATCAAGAGTTTGAAGCCATCTTGGCTCTACATAATGATTACCTCCCCCCTAATAAAAAAGGTCATTTGCAGTCATTAAGTATTTTATTAAATGAGATTAACACATAAAAAACTTATAAAAACATGCTTTCAAAATTTTAGCTTTATTGTCTTAATTGACTGAAACTTTCCATGAAAACAATGGTCCTCTATTAACCTCATTCTCTGCGGACAGCTGTTGGCTTGAGCCCCCCTGACCATCTCCAATAGTTTTCCAGAAACGGCTCTTCTGTAGGCCCAGGTGTATATTTCCTGGTCTTTCTCTTTAGAGAGCCCCACATGGGAGAATCAGTGAATACATAAAGTGAGAAAAAAATAAGGTAGAGGCAGGTAAATAGGATCTAGAGTCTTGTGTACATCTGGTTACCCAAGCCCTGCATCTTTTCTCCTCTTTGAAACTTTCTCCAAATCTTGGCATAAAAGGTTGGAATTGTGCCCAGCCAATTATTTCCCTCCCTTCTTTTTTACTGTATCCATTCATCTTTACTTAATCCACAGAAGAGCTTTTCAAGTCTCATATTTATCAGAACCAGAATTGAACTTGTACATGTCTCTTACTTGGCAACAGGAAAAGAAGTCTTCCAATCAGTGCTCCTCAGGTTAGACCTAGTTTTGGTTTCATGAAACAAGGGAAAGATCTCAGGCTGCCAAAAATGATGAGACATGATTTTAGTGGTATTTCTTATATTGGCTTCTTGTACAGGAGTCATTGTGGCAAAGAGCAGAATGATAGTCTTGTGCTATATTTTACTGTATTCACCTTGACAATTGTTTTTTGCCTCTCTTTTTTGTTATACCTCAACCCTTCTTACTTAACCAGCAACTCCTATTCATCTTCAGTCTGTGGCTTGTGTACCACTTCTTTAGCATATTCTTTACAGAAATCTCACTTACATGGTCTCATCGTACGTCAAATTTTCATTCATGTATCAGTCATGGCCTTTGGATAATGTAGGTGTTTGTATGATAAATTTTTCAATCTATGTATTTACCAAGAATCAAATGTAGTACCTGAGGGGCTGGCTGAGTGGTTCAAGCAATAAGAATTCCTGGATAGCCAGCATAATCCCTGAGTTCAAACCCCAGTGCTGCAAAAAAAAAAAAAAAAAAAAAGTGTAGTACATGATGCATTGTATATTCTGAGTAAACTTAGACTGAGTGAGATGAAGGAAGATGATCAGAGAAGCCATCCAAAGTCAGGATTTTATGATCCTAACACTTAAATGGCAAATCTGAGAACACCAGGGTGGTGACATCAACAGAATGTAAGAACAATAGCCATAGATATACAAAGAAACAATAATGAAATTGTTGGAGATATTTTCCTCTTCTCCTCCAAAGTGCCTCTTAAATCTTTCACTCAACTGTTAATGATCTGCATTCATAAAGAGAGAGTAAATGGATGCTGTCACACACATATACCACGTACTCCATATCCTCAACTTCTTTCACCAAGATTATCATTTAGATTCAAGTTCAGCAGAATAGCGTCTTTCCTTGTATTGCTAAGATTTTTGAGGTAACACTCTATTTCTCATGTTCAGAGTGTTGCCATGAATCCCAGGTAGTGGTGTGCTTTGGGCATTTCCTCTAATGGCTGCTATGTGCCTCACCCCTTTAAGTATACATCCTACACTAACAAAAACAGTTACTATGTCTCCAAAAATCTCATCAATTTCCTTGTGTAAATTTCTTTTGTACTGTTCCTGACAATTTATCTTTATAATTATCTCACTCATCCATTCTATTCATCTCAGAATTCCTTTTCCCTCCAGCAGACTAGCAGCAAACCCCTCAAGTCAAGGAGGACAATTGAAGATTATAGGAGATTAAGTGCTCCAGAAGTCCAGAGATTCCTCTGTTGAGGAAACTATCAGCAACACTGAAACCATGAAAGTAAAGGCAGACATCAGGTCAAGGAAGAAAATGGCAAAGAGTTTTTGTGAACAAGTTTTAAAAGCTGAATTGTAATTCCAAGTAAATTTCAAGCACAATATAAGCTAGATTTTAAATCAATGTCCAGTGTATTTATTCTTTATGAAGACAGAGATGCTTTCCTTTTTCTATGAACATGTTTGCCTGCGTTACTCTTTTTGATGCTTCACATAAAGGAAATGCTTAATGATTACCAATTCCCAACTTGTCTGTTAAACATTTAGCTGATAGCTCATCATAGTTCAATCAACAATTCAGAAATTCAGAAAAGAGAGGTAAAACTTAGAGAAGGAGATATATTTCGTGATATTCCTGTTGGCCATCCCATGTGTCCTGGGACAAGCTAAAAAAAGGGATTGAAATTCCTTAGAAATGCTTCTACTAGAAACATTCTGGTACTAAATAACTAAAGAAACCACACAGAATGGAGCACTGGAACTCCACCTTGGGAAGTGGCTTCATCTTGGTGGGAATTCTGAATGGCAGTGGGTCTCCTGAGCTACTCTGTGCCACACTCACTGTCCTGTACATGTTGGCTTTGACCAGCAATGGACTGCTGCTCCTGGTTATCACAATGGATGTTCACCTCCATGTGCCCATGTACCTCCTGCTTAGACAGCTCTCTCTTATTGACTTTCTTCTCACATCAGTTGTCACTCCCAAATCCCTTATGGTTTTTCTGAACAGAGATAACACCATATCCTTTGGAAGCTGTGCCTTTCAGCTGTTTCTGACACTGATACTGGGTGGCACGGAGGACCTCCTTCTGGCCATCATGGCCTATGACAGGTATGTGGCCATTTGTCATCCTCTGAACTACATGATCTACATGAGGCCCAGGGTCTGCTGGCTCATGGTGACCACATCATGGTTCTTGGCATCCCTGACTTCTGTAGGACATACCATGTACATCATCCACCTCCCTTTCTGCATGTCCGGGGAAATCAGGCACCTGCTCTGTGAGATCCCCCCTCTGTTGAAGTTGGTCTGTGAAGACACATCCAGATATGAACTCTTTGTGTATGTGACAGGTGTGACTTTCCTATTGCTACCCCTTTTTGCGATCATTACCTCCTATACACTAATTCTTGTCACTGTGCTCAATATATCTTCTAATGAGGGAAAGAAGAAAGCCCTCTTCACCTGTTTTTCCCACCTAACTGTGGTTGGGATGTTTTATGGGGCTGCCACCTTCATGTACGTCCTGCCCAGCTCCTTCCATAGTCCCAAACAAGACAACATCATCTCTGTTTTTTACACCATTGTCACCCCAGCTCTGAATCCCCTCATTTACAGCCTGAGGAATAAGGAGGTCATGGGGGCCCTGAGGAGGGTCCTGGGGAAGTACATCCCACCATTTAGGTCTTGCTTTTCACTATTCCTTCTCTCAATCAAATTGCTACACTGAGCTGTTCTTTAATAATACACTCTAAAATGATACATACGCTACTTAAATTCTTTATTTTATACTGTGTGACAGGTAGGTACAAGGACATAGGGTGAACTCACTTGGCACATATCACCCTGGTTATGGAAGTCCCACATTACAAAGGGACCAGGAGAAGAAAAGCTTTGCATGGATACCTTAGCCTCATTGTGTGATAGGGCATTATCTCGACATATTACCAAGTAGACACAGTAGGGGATTAACTTGCCATTTCAACATAACGCAGCAGGGAGAAATAGTAGTGGTTTTAGATTAAGAAGACACCAATAGCCTCTGAACCCCAGAGAGCTGCTTCTTTTATTAATGATTTAATAATCATTAACTTAATGGTTTAATAATCTTTAATTTGTTAATGATTTGATAATCATTAATAAAGGGAAGATTACACAAAATATATTGGATTTCTTTCCTATTAACAAGGTACCAATTGGTGAGGAAGAATATTAGATATGTGATTGCATTTGTGCTTCATTTCTACAGAGAAATCCACATTGACATCACAAAGACAAAGACCTGCATTGACCTTGTGGAATGCATAAAGACAGGGGGCATGGCAATTCTAGTTGGAACCTGTCAGAGTCTTTTTGAAATGAGAAAATTTCAATGCCTATAATTAAAATTTTAAATGAAGAAAATAGAATTGAATGTAGTGGAGATACAATAGCAGTGAGAAAAATAGATTATGAGTGTTAGTTGATATTTTAAAAAATACAGTCATGAAGATACACATATATGTTTTGACACATGAAAACAATTGCATAGTTTTCTCTAAATGCTGCATTTTACAATGCATAAAATTAAAACTAAACAAAGAAATGAATAAAGTTGAATCGCAACTATGCACACGTAAGCACAAGAGGAGTGGCACCATAGCAGTGAGAGGAATGTGTTGTGCATGGTATCTGAATCTTTTCAAAATATAGGTAAACATGTATGTTTTTAAACATTGAAGTAATCACAAGGAGCACATTCTTTTCTTTGTTGAAGTAATGGTAAACTGCTTCATTTGTAAAACAAAGTCATAAACTGAACAGCTAACACTAACTATACAAGTTTCTTATAAAAACAGAAAATGCAGAAATTTAAAGAAATTACCTATAATGTCTCCCATTCATTCTTGTTATGTACCTGTATTTTGCTGATAATTAAACTTCCTTTGACATTTAAAATTTGGACATACTTTTTCCTTTTTATGATACAATATTTTAGTGTATTGATAGAGAAGGAGGAAACCAAACACCCTGAGTTTAAATCTACTCCCTTTTTATCATCTGTTCATCTTCAGTCACTAAATTACATTTTTTGGCAGTATTGGAATTTGAACTCAGGGACTCACACTTGCTAGGAACGCCCTCTACCACTTCAGCCATGCCACCAGCCCTTACATTTTTTTAATGCCTCAATTCGCACATCTGTTAAAAGTTGTGATAATTAGAAGCCTGAACTCATGATACTGTTGGTAGATTGCATAAGATAATACATATCAGTCATTTACTAGACTAAGCCTGGTAAATAAAGCTTAAAATATGTTGATGATTATATAGATGAGTAGTAAAGAGTATTCAAAAACTTAAGATCATTGGTTTATTGGGTATTTTGTTTGTTTTTTAGTGATACTGGGGTTTGAACTTAGAGCCTTGGGTTTGTTAACAGACTCTCTACTGATGAGCCACATCTCCAACCTCTATTATTTTACTTTTAAAAAAAGAAACATATGTTCATTAATTTATTTTTATTGAAAAAATTGCATCTATTTATGGAGTATGACATGATTTTTTTGATATATGTATAAACTGTATAATTGCTAGTTCAAGCTACTTGATATATAGTTTACCTCACATACTTATTCTTTGTGGTAAGAACAGCTAAAACAAGTGTTCAGTAATTTTCAAATACATGGTGCATTGCTATTATTATTATCATTATAATCACTAAGACATACAACAGAATAGATACAGAGATAAGGAATTTTCTTATAAATTGTTCCATTTATATGCCATCCCTTCATTTTTTCTCCCTTCTCTTTTTCTAAATCTCAGATAAGTTGAGTTAATTGTCTTTAATATATACTTTTTGTCAAATAAAAACTAAAATTAAAAAAAGAAAGCTATCCTGGTAGATATTGGGAAAAATTAACAATAAAGGACAAGAAAGGGATAAAAGAGAGAAAAGGAGTGAGGAAGAAAGGAAGAAAAAAGACAGAGAAAGAAAGAGAGAGAAAGGGAGGGAAAGGAAAGAAAGAAGGGAGGGATGGAGGAAGGTAAGGAAGAAAATATGGATGCACACACAGGCACTACTTTTGAAGCCCATGCAATTTAAAAGGGAAATTAATGTGGGTAAGCATATAACCTCATATCAAGCAATGAACCACATAAAAAAACATCAGAAATATGAGAATACATATTCAAAAATGGATTCTCTTCCTTTATTCTTGTGTGCACTTATCAAATCTCTATTGAACATGTTTTATATGTCCAAGGCACATTTCTAGGACCTAAAGATAAAAATATAAACTATAAAGACTTCATGGTTTTGTGTTGTTATGTTTCTAGTATGGACTTCAATTCTAAATTTAACAATTTCCAAAATTAAAAAAAATGCACATTTAAAGGATAATTATTTCAGTGCTGGGAATCACACTCAAGGCCATGCACATGCTAGGCAAATGTTCTACCACTATGCCAGACCACCAGCCCAAATGGTAGATTTTCTTAGAGTATGTGTATAGTTAAGAAAATAGTGAAATATAAGGCTGAAAATTAAGATGAAAAGTCAAGATTGAAAAGTGCCTTGACCTCAATACTATAGAATGTGCTCACATGGAATTTTGAACAAAAGGGGTAGGAGATAAAAATTGGAGGCATTATGGGAAGAGTTACAGAAAAATGAGGAAAAGATTTTAAAAACAGAGGTCTGGGAGACTGACGTATGCCTTTGTAGGGTATGTGAAGCTTATAATATAGAAAGAAGATAGTTTGTATAACATCACTGAGTCATTTATTAAAGACAATACTTCTCAATACAAGGTGCAAGGTGGGGTACTTGACCTCAGAATTCCTACTTACGATAAGCCCCAGGTGATTACTAACACAATAAGAAATATGTTGCCTATGTGGGTGATAGAATAACTTTTGACATAAATGAAGTGTGCAATTATTTGTTTACGTTTGAATCTTCCTGACATTGTGAAGTAAAGCACTTAAGTTTTCTTCCATGTTGTCTTTGAGTTCATTTTTTTTTTTAACCTAAGGTAGCACCACTTGCTCAGCAAACTTGCTCTGTTAAAGGCCAGATAATAAATCTTTTAAACTGTGTGGGCCACAACCCTTAACTCTGCTTGTATAGTAAGAAAACAGCCATGGACAATACAAAACCAAATGTGTTGCCATAAAACTTTATTTACAAAATCAGAAAGATTGGATTCATAGATTGCTGATCCTTTCCCCACCCCACCATTCAAATCAATAAATTGTTAATCTCAGTGGCCTAACAGATAGAAGACATGTTTCACATACGTTAATCTCAGGTGAGAAATGGAGTGTCAGGTGTAAGGACACAAACTGATAAAAAAAAATCTGCTCATTGGGTATTACAAAGATGTCCTTTTGGTAACATCTAGAGGTAAGGATAAAGTGGTTCTTCACTGCTAGGTTTTGTGGCCTTGAAGGGGTGCAAATCACACAAGCTCACTTTCCATATATTGAAACACAATCCTATGGTCCCAGGTAAATGCAAAAGGGGCTGGGGAATAAAAAAAAAAAACCAATGCATGTGGAGTGAGTGGAAAGCCTGACACAGAACTTTGGTTTCATCATTTGATCTTTAAAATATCTCATTTATTCCAGGAGATTTTATATATGTGAGTTAGTTTTTTTTTTTCAAATATTTTGCCATTTCTTCTAATTACATGGTTAGTCATTTCTTCCTGATTAATGTGAAATGCTGCCACAATATATGGTAAATTTCATCATGACATTGACATATTTATGAATTACTATGATTATTTCATTGCATTTTAATTGCTAAAACTCTAGCTATGATAATTATTTCATATTTTTCTTGATTATTCATATTCTTTCTACTTTTTAGCATGTCAAAATCCAGTTTTGAAAATGCTGTATGAATTTTGAAGTTTGCTCTATTGAATTTCTAGGTCATTTGGCAAAAAGTTGCTGTCTTGAAATAAAAAATGTTAAATTCTTTTCTACTAGGAAATTGGAATACCTATGTATTTTTTCAGTATATATATGTTTTCAGTATATATATGTATATACATAGATATATGCATATTCACACTCATTTGCTTTTTGTATTGTTATTGAAAAGATGGTACCATAAATAGTCTAGATTTTATGGAAAAACAGGTATGACACACACATGGCATAGTCCATACTTCTCCGAGATTTTTTTAATAGTAGAATCAGAGAGAAATTAATTTAACTAAAGCATAAAATGACCAGTTTTATATAATAATAAAAATGATGAAAATAAAATAAGATGCATGGTAACAACTTTTGGTTTGGGTGCCTGTTACTTAGATTAACAAGTTAACATTCAAGGTGAGTTTAAATGATGCGAATAGTAAAGAATGCAGATTTGACAAAAGAACATCTAAGATTTACTAGAACAGCAAATTGGTCCTAAGGCAGGAACAATTATGGACGAGTGATAGGCAGCAGGGAAGCCAATGCAGTGAAGTGAGAGTGAGTACAAGGGGCCATATGTTCAGATATAGGATGAAATGTAGGCTGAAACACGGTTACGTGTTTTCTACAGCCATGTAGAAAAGTGACATGATCTATTTTATGCTTATGCTGGTTAGTTTGCATGCTGATCATAGCAGGGCAAGAGGGGAAAGACAAGATCCCTTTAGGAAGGTATTGCTGATCAACAATACAGGATTATGATGCCTTGAGCTGAAGTACAACTGTAAGGAAGAGCAACAGACATCACCTATGTGG